CCAGTAATGTGTTGTTTTCCTTTCCCTTCCCCATAGAGGATATCTCTTGCTGCAAGGGTTTGCTGTCTCTGCTCTTCAGTCTCCATGTTCTGTACAAGAGTCCTGTCAGTCTGCTGCGTGAACTCGCACAAGACATCCACGCTTGCCTGGGAGACATAGATCAGGTATGATGCAGAAGCAGCCTAACTCTCCACCACTTAGTGTTGTCAGGCCAGGACTGAGCGCATCTCTGATGCAAACTATGTGACAGAAGCTAAAGTTTTACTCACCAGAATCTGGTTTTCCTCCATCCAGGACATAGAATTGGAGAGCAGGTCCCATTTTGCCATAGTGAATGCCAAGACTGCAGCCCCTACTGTCTGTGTGAGTCAAAATAGTGTGTATGGAACAACCTGTAGTGTCCAGGGCTACTCTGCTACAAGTGGCTTGTAGATTCCTGTTGTGCCAAACTCCTCCAAAAACCTGTTTTGTTACTGGTGTTTCTATCACCTTTCTTAGCTGCTGGTTCTAGGTCAGGCTGATAAGGTCCTTGAAGAGGTGGATTGGCTTATCAAGAAACTCACCAGTCTGGGACCAGACACATCAGGTAATAAAAGTGGTGCATTTCTTAGTTATACCTTTGTCAAAAAACAGATGAAGATAGAGAACAAAAACATATTTTGGGATTTTGAAGTAGCATCATCTGAGGGCAGGTTAAACTTTCCTTTGAGCTGGTTCTACATGAACAATGTAAGATAGAAAGTGTTGTCACAAAATCCCTCCAGTGATTTTTTTTTTTTTTTAACTTGTGCCACACTGGTGCTTTGTGCACCAGACGCAAAGGTGGTCTTTTGTGCCTCCCACCTGCATAACTGGATTCATTAGACACACATTCACCAGGTATTCATATCTGTCTTCTAGAAGATTCTTCTCAGGCATCAAACCAAACCCAGGCTCTGGAGAAGGGTGTAATTCTGCAGTTGGGAACTCTGCTGACAGTTTATCATGAGCTGGTACAGACAGCACTCCCTGCAGGGAGCTGTGTGGACACGCTGCTGAGAAGCCTCAGCAAGACATATGCAATTCTCACCTCCCTCATCAAACATGTGAGTGCTGCTCTGCTGACAGTGGGCTGGCTGGGATCTAAAAACTTTTTCCCCATCTGCTACAGCAAGCTCACAGTGACCCCTGGCAGCAGCTTTGCTCAGGACTGGGCTGTTGATCTCTTGCAGGAGCAGAGTTCTTATTCTCTTGGCTTTCATGCTCTCAGTTTCGTGACCTTTCTGGAGCAGTGATAATTGTACCAGTGGAGATAAAAGAAAGCTTTTCTCCAGCTGAATTTGGCTGTGCATGGCTTGGAGTGGCTCTTTCCAGTGTATTTTGTAGGTTCTTCTGTATGCAGCTGTGTGCCACAATGAACAGTGCTAGTGGTGTTCTCGCAGTGCCCAGCAATCCTGCCCTTGCTGCTCATTCCCATCGAAGGCCTGAAGCATCAGACCTGGGGGAACTGTGCCATGAGCACAGGCCAGCGGAGCTAGTTTGAGACAAGGTGGTGAATTCCCTTAGTGCTCTCAGCTCTGGAATGCAGACATGGCATTTGGGATACAGCAGGCCACTGGGGAGGATAGTTCTTGCAAATCCTGCCCCCCTCCACTGTGCCGTTTGATGAGCTGCTATGAGCCCTACCTGGAAACAGTGTACCTAGAGGAAACTTATGTTTTCCTTGCAGTATATCCAAGCTTGCCGCAGCACCTCAAATACGATTCCAGGAAGGCTAGAAAAGCTGGTGAGTGTGAACAAATTGTTGGAGGAAATGGCTTATTGCCTTGAATTGGGAGTAACACCAACCTCTGCTGCTTCACAGGTGAAGCTTTCAGGTTCCCATTTGACCCCGCAGTGTTACTCATTCATTACTTACGTACAGGTAAGGCCTAAATTAACTGGCAAAATCACAGTCAGTCTATCTGATGCTGAGTGGTGTATCAGCTGCAATACATGGGCGCCTTTGGGGATTATTAATCTTCTTGACATGATTTGAGTTTCTTGTATTTCAAGCTTCACTATGTCAAATAATAGCATAAGACATTTCAGCACCATTGGGACCAAGCATGTTGATTTCTGCTTGAGCAGGGAAGGAAGAGTGTTTGGGGAGCTGGTTTTTAGCTTCTATTTTCCCACCTCTGTTCATGCCATTTTTTTCTTTTTTGGATGAGATTAATACTGCTGTTAACCACAATGGCAAAGAAAGGTCAACAACGCTGCAGTCATCACAGTGCAAAGTAATGTGGGTGCCAGCAACTGCAGTGCCAAAGATGGGATTTAGCTGTTTGGAGAGGAATTGGATGCTTGAGTGAGGAATTTTAGAACAGACGTGGCACATTGGGGAAGGTGTGGTGTGCAGAGTACCACTCCTGGGGACTTCACACACATACATATTTCTGAATGTATAAATTATGAAATTTGATTTTCCTTCCTTCTTTTTTTGAGATTACCCCCAATTCCATCCTTCTTGTATCTTGTATGACCTTTCTGTCATCTAGCTGGTAATGCTGTTAGCTGGCCAGAGCAAAGACTTCTCTGGCCTTTCTTCCCTGCTTGCCCTCTAATGCCACATCTTTTGGCATCTTTCTTCAGAACATCCACAGTGAGAGCTTAAGCTTTGCAGAAGAGAAGAAAAAGAAGAAGAAAGAGGATGAAGCTGCCTCAGTCTCCACAGTCATGGTAAGATTGACTCACTCTCTATTAGAACATGGGCTGTATTTGAACTTGGGATTGTACTTCAAGGCTTGTATTACCTGGTGGCTTCTTAGAGATTACCAATGACAAATTGGCAGTTAGGCCTTTAAGTAAAAATCAAATTTATTCTCCTTAACTTCAGAAAAAAGTCTAAAAAAAACCCAAACAAAAAACCCTACCACAAAACAAAACCAAAGCCACCTTCACTAAATGCAGCCTAAAAGCTCACAGACATGAAACAAAGGTAAAGTCTCGATAGTCTGTTGTCTGGTATTTTATCATTTGGGGTAAGCTATGAAATTACAGAAATTGTCTAATTTATTGGAACCAATACTGCACTCTGTTTAAGTGTTTCTTAATTTTGTCAGTACATTTAAAGTAATGGATTCCACTAAAGTAAAGCAGTTGAGAATGACTGGATGATTTGGTTGGGAGCAAGTGAGCAGGCTGGCAGGTTCCTGGTCTTTTATGTCCGTTGTTTGTGCTCCCAGCCAGCATCTCCTCTGGCTTGTCAGTTGTCCCAGACATTCCTGTGACAGTAAGGGTTTAAAAGCCACAAGCATGATCTTCCTAGCTGTTCCCTGAGTGTATGGAAATGGGCTGAAATGTTGCATGTCCTTTTACCACTCAGTCACCATGGGGAACAAACATCAGTAGTGGTAAATAAACAGGGCAAAGATGTGGTGAAACAGCAACATGCTCATTGCCCGGAAGGTGTATGCTTGTGATGCCTTTGCAGAGCTGGAGCAGAGGAAGTTTTGCTCTGATGGCTGCCAGGCACAGCAGGGCTGTGGACTGAAGGCAGAGTATGAAACACCACCCAGGAGAGCCTCACTGCAGATCCATCGTGGGAGTCAATTTAAAACCAGTAACAAACTGGCAAGGCTCTCTGGGGCAGGACTAGTATGGAGCAAGGCTACTGAAGACACTTTTCTAAACTGGAGCGTTGTAGTCGTGCTACAGCATCACTGTTCACTTCCAAGTCTGGCCTATCACCCTCCTTTCTGCATTTCAGGCTAAGGTGCTTCGGGATACCAAGCCAATCCCAAACCTGATTTTTGCAATAGAGCAATATGAGAAGTTCCTCATCCATCTCTCCAAGAAATCAAAGGTAACGTAAAGCAGAGCTCTTCTGTGATTTGAATGAGGTGGGACAGTGGCATAGTGGAGGGCTACTGCTCTTCCATCTGTTAAAATCTCCACTGCTGCTCAAATTAGGAAAGCGTAAGGACTTTACCACACTTTCCACCTTTGCCCAAGCTCTTGGCCCAACACTAGCTACCTGCTGTGCCGTTACTGCCTGTGACCTCAAATTGTGTGCTAAGTTTCTGCTCAACCAGAAACTCACACCTAATGCCAGCTCTCCTCACCCCATTCCCTCAGTCTTGTTTCATGAGGAGATAAAGGCACCACCATGAGATACTACAGGAGAGTGAGTGTGACTGGTAATCACTCAGCTGTTACAAAAACATAAACGGCTCACTGGAGCACATGTGGGCAGGTGCTTTTTCACCTCCTCTTTGCTTCAGTCCTGTATCATTGAAGTGATGGACTCCAGTCTCAGTGTTGTACAAAGCACCAGACAGGGCAGAAAACTAAGCGAAGATGCTAATGGCATAATGTCCTCTGCCCCGGGTTTCACCTTGGCTGCTACAGGTGAACTTGATGCAATATATGAAGCTGAGCACCTCCCGGGACTTCCGCATCAACGCATCCATGCTAGACAGCGTGTTGCAGGAGCATAACACAGAGGATGCTGAAAATGAGCCAGACAACGACCAGGTCAGAACTCATTTTGCTGCTTTTACCGATGGGTTTCCCCCTCGTTTGAGGCCAACTACGTGTGAGCTGTTCGGGTATATGTGAAATCAGGACAGTTTGTTTCCCCTGGGCTAGCTCTCATTTTAATACTAAGCTGACAGAAAGGAGTGAACAGTTAGTCTGGCTAACGTCCCCTACACCCCAGCCCTCTGCCTGGGGTGACTTTTTTTCCATGCACCAACTGTCTGTATCTCTGGTCTTAGGGAAGCGAGCCTGCCCTGAAGGCCTTGTTGTTTGCCTCAGCAAGCAGAGGTCTGTCAGCATTATCTCTGAGGACCTACGGGCCGGCCAGGATCATCAGACCTTTGCAGCATGATGCAGACTGGTTTTGTAGATAAACAGCTGGCAGGGCAAACACTGCAAGGCAGCATTCTCATCAGACCTCTCTCCTCTACTAGATAGTGCTGGTGAAGGTAGCACAACCTGTGCTGGGTAAAAAAAAAATAAACAATCATCTACTTTGGTGATTGTCCAGGTTTTTATTGGTGCTTCTGTCCGTATTTTCCTGAGTGTTTCAACAAACTAAAATCCAGCACAAACAGTCCCTGTCCTGTGCTGTTCATAACCTCTGGTCTAAGTTCCAGCATGACTTGGGGGGGGGAGGCCTATGGGGAGTCTCAGCAGGCCGGAGGAGTCCCTTGGCAGGGTCATTTTGTTAGGGAGGAAAGAGCTAAATCCTGTTCTCCACATCTGGTTTCTTGCATTAGGTATACATTCCTTAGACTAAATCACACAAAAACAATTACACTGTGTACTGCTACTCCCTCTCCAGAGCGGCACCGCAGAGCAGACGGATGAGAACCAGGAACCCCAAAAGAAGAGACGGCGAAAAAAGTAAAGCTGGGGTTGCTGCTGCCTCCTGCCCCCGGGCTCCGAGAGCTGCCTCTACAGAGATGATAGTTTGTTGTTTCTCTGGCCAACTGCTTGTGACATCTTCCTTCATGCCCATGGGCACGTAAAGCAGCAATTCTGGCCCCCCTCTCAGGTTTTACAGCTGGCTGCTGCCCTCCAAAGCGCCTCTGCTATTCAAATGTGCTGCGATCAAAATCTTTCCCAGGAACATCCCTTCTTACAGCAAAAAGGGAACAAAATGACCAGGCTCGGTCCCTGCCAAAAGATCTTCTGAAAGGACAGACAGGCCGTGGCACGCACTCTGGACAATTGTCATTCTGGCACTCTAGCGTCATCATTTCTTCCCCAGCGAACCTTTGGTTATTTCAATTAGCTGATAGATATCCAGTGCTTCTCCTGGAAGACAATGGGACAATCAGTTCCCTGCGTTCTGCAGTACACTCAGAGACTGTGTAACATGAGTGACGGTCGTGATTTGCTTTAGTTTGGAGCGTGTAGCACAAAAAGCCCTAAATTTATTCAAACTTCTGTTTTGTGTGGTGGTGTGAACGCAGGAACCAGCACCAGGAGGAAGCTGGAAGCATGAGCTGTTCTGCCTTGGAGTTGAAGCTTGGTGCTTGGAGAAGCAGAGAGGTGACAGCTTCTTCTGGCAAGGCTGGTTTTGCTGTTGTGTTTTTGCTGACCCTGATGCAATACGCTTGTTTAATTTGACTTGTTCTTGGCGAGAAGTGCCCTTTTTGCCCATGGAACACAAATCCTATTTCAGAAAGCACCCTTTGCCTGTAAGACTCCTAATAAAGGTTACCTAAGGTGGAGTGTTTGTCTCTGTCCAATGACTAAGAGAAGAAAATCTGAGAGCAAGTTCTTCTCTGTATCTGGGAAATCACTGGCACACATCAAGGAGGAGCTGTTTAAAGCAGCTCCCAGCCAGGAGTTAAATGCTGGCTATGCAGCAGTTAGAGGGTTATACTGAGTGCAGACAGGGATGACTCTAGGCCTTGGGATTGCTGGGGAAGAACACAGCACTGCCAAGGCTGTTGCCTGGACAGAGCTGTGCTGGGCTAAGGGGGAGGGGGAAAGGAGAGAAAGCATCCAAGGCTGGAAAAGTTTGGGTCTGGAGAGCAAAATATACAAGGCTGGAGAGGCACCTTGGTTCAGAGAGGGAACATTTCAATCCTGGGCTGTGTTAAAAGCGCAGAGGAGGGCTCCTCAGAGGGGCACAAAGTGAAGGTGGGTGTGGGGTGGCAGAGCCAGGCCCAGCTCGTCACTATCAGAATTATTTGGAGGCAGCTGCACAAACCACTTGGGGACTGAGGAAGGAAAGAGGGGTAGGGAGGGGCTGGCACCGGGTGCCCAGCCGGACAGACGATGGGTCAGGAAGCAAAGGGCTCCCACGGTGCTTCTGCTGCACAGAGGAGCCCTTGGGGAAGGGCTGCTTAGGCCCAGTGGTCTGCCTAAACTGGGGAGGATGGTGCAGAGGGGATTACAGGGGGGTTAGCTAGCACGGACACCGCTCACCTTGAGGGATGCCGTACTTCTTTTCCATCCCAGTTGGATTTGATGGCGTCGTGCAGGTCATGGTCACCTCTTTCCTTAAGCACTGGTCAATGTCCACTGTGCTAAAGAAAGCCACTGACTGTGGCAGATCCTGGAGGCCCAGTTTGTAGGCAAACATGCACCTGGAAGAACAAGAGACGAGGTGGGACGGTGCTGCACATCACACTTCACCTTGTCCCGCCCGGCTCTGATCAGCCACAGCATCACAAAACCCTGGCCGGCCGTCACCAAGAGGTTACTCCGCACCCACGTCACTCAGCAGCTGGAAGCTAAGGTGCTTTTTAAGTACTGGGTGGCAGGAGGGTCAAGTATTGCTAAAGTGGATGTGGGAGGAACAGAGTAATGGTACACTGAGCCTCCTCGGAAGAAAGGAATAGACCAGCCCTTCCCCGCTGGCTAATCCTCCCAGCCAGAGCAGACGCTGGATTTTCCCAGCAGGAAGCCCTGTGCACGCCGGAGCCGGCACAAAGGCCTGAACATCGGGGCGCCTGCCCCCGCCGCGCCTGCCGCCCCGGCACAGAAAGGCTGTTTGCTGTATCCCTGCCTCAGCACAGGAGAAAACAGCTCGGCTCTGGCTGGCTCCCGTATAACCAAACACCCCACAGCGCCAGGAAGGGGATTTGGCAAAGCTGGCTGTGCCAGAACTGGGTGGAAGGGAGCCCTTTGAGGTCAGGAGCTTTCCAGGCTGAGCTTAACCTTGCACGCAGCAGGGAAGCAGTGGGAACGCCCCACGCTGCGGAAAGGGCAGCAGAGCCAACGAGCCGTGCCCCTTGCTGTCCCCTAAAGAGAAGGGGGAGAGGGGTGGGGACAGTTTCAGGCTCCCAGCTCCTCAGTCAGGCCCAAGGGCTGCTGCCAGGCGGCGGTGGCAGACAGGGAGGGAGCAGGAGGCGATGCGCTCGCATCCCAGCGGAGCAGAACGATCAGCCCCGTCCCTGCAGGAACCAAAACCTGATGATATCCTGGTCCTGCCAACACATTATCTCTGGAAATCGAAGCTGAGCTCCATTTATAGCCACCTGAGTCACGCACGAAGGATCTGCAGCCTCCAGCGCTGCCAACTTCCCTTAAGAAGAAGGAAACTGCTCTGCGCCAGCTTGATGCGGGCAAAGCTAACGCCTTTGCTATCACCCCAGTGCCCTGAGCTTGCCCTGTCCCACCCCAGAGGCACTGGTGCTCAGCCCCAGGAGACACCACAGCCATCACATCTCACCTCGTGAGGAGGTTGGTGATCTGCAGGGCCAGGGCTGCGCGGTAGCGATCTTGCTGCTGGACCAGGTAGCGTACCTCATCGTGGATGCTGATGCAGAAGCGCCCGTTGATGTCGAACTCCTCAAAGAGCCACTTCATGGCAACCAGCATGAGGTGCAAGTAGTCAACAGCCGAGCTCTGCACCACCCAGTTCACTCTGCTGGTCAGAAACTGGTGAAAACAAACAGAGATGGATTTTAGGAGAGCATTGGGGTCCAGGGTCCAGTCCCAATACAGGAGAGCTCCTGGAAGAAGTCTGCTAAATTCAGGGTTGTTGGGTTTTCTTGATGTCATGCAGATAAAGAAAAGGGGTAATGAGCTTCCTGCATGGCTCTAAGAGCTTACTGGGTCTCCAGCATCTAAAAAGTGCTGAACATTTTGGAGAAGACAAGCAAAGCTGAAAGCTCAGCAGCACAGAGCCACGTCCTTACCTCCCCCTTGACCATGGCGGGCTCCAGGGCCCTGCTGATGTGACAGCCCAGCACCGGGGTCTGCGGGGACGGGGATAAGGCAATGCTCTCCAGTTTGTTGAACATCTCGGACTCGGTGCCTCCAGCCCACACTCGGTGCTCCACTATGTTCCACTTCTTCCTCCAGGACCTGGCAGAGCAGAGGGAAGGTTTGCTGGAAGCATGGGAGGAGGCTGCAGGCCCCATTTGAGAACCTCAAACGCCCCATCCTGGATTGGGGCAGCCAGAAAATCCCCTGCAGCCTCTTGCTGCTAACTGCTCACTGGGAGAGACTAGGCGCCCCCACTCAAACCGACTCAGCCCTGGGGGAGCAGGGAGGGAGGACTGGGGATATCCAGCCCCATCTCCCTTCTCTGTGCACCACCTGTGGGGCTGCAGCTCCCTCCACCTCGCACCCCGATGCCACCAGAGCCATGCAGGGTCAGAGCATCTCACCTTTTCAGAGCTTCTCTCTGGACTCGTTGAATGTCCTGGGCCGACACCGATCCATCCTCTGCCCTGTCCACAGCCAGGCCCAGCTCCTTCACCAGCCACTTCCCCTCTTTGGAGAGATGAAACCTGGAAGGGAGAGTGACCCATGCCCAGGTCCCGTGGGACACCGCCACCGTCCCGGTCCCCACTCCCCCCTCCGCTCCCCAGGCAGCACTCACCTCCGGACGCCCTTGGTGACGGCGTACATCTGCTGAGCCTTCTCACGTGCCTGCTGCTGCGTCAGCCGATGGTTAAACTGCATCAGCAGCCGCTCGGCGAAGGGCTGCCCGGCCCCGTAGATGCGTCCGTAGTTGAAGACTTTGGCGTGCTCCCGGCTGATGCCCACCGTGGCGGCTGTCTTGCTGTGCAGGTCTGTCGCGTTGCTCTTCTTCCCCTGCAGAGTCATCCAGCCGAAGGCCGTGCAGCCTGCCGGGAGGGGAGCAGGGGTTGGAGACGACAAACAGGACCAGGCTTGGGGTGGGGTGTGTGTGTGTGTGGGGGGGGGGGGGTTACCCCACTACCCAGCAAACCCGTCCCCACGTGGCGCAGCCCCGGCTCACCGTGCAGGCCGGCGAAGTGTGCCTCGCCGAGGACAGCGGCTATCCACAGCTCCTGGGAATCCACGTCCGCACCCACCAGGGAGTAGCCAGGCGGCACCTGGACCATGGCTTTCAGCTCACTGCCCACCCGGTCTGCCTGTGGGACACGATGCCCAGCTCAGCACAACCCCCCGCACCTCCCTCTCCTCCTCAGCGGCACAGGAACAGCTTCTCTCCCGCAACCACAGCGTGCTGGCACGGTGCTCCCTATGCCCCTAAATTTTGCTCTAAATGTCAAAACCAGGTTTAATGCATGCATGGGGCATTGCCCACTCGGTTACTCCTCCCAGGCTTCTCCAGTATGGAAGAAGAGGAGCCTGAGGAAGGACAGAAACCAGTGCTGCAGTGCTTTCTTCTCCTTTCACCAAATTTTGACGGTCAGGAACCTCTGCTGACTCCTTCCCCTCTCCCAAAGTCAAGGCACATCAGCAAGAGAAGGGCCCCAGCACCAACTTCTATTTCCAACACAGGCTGCTCCCACCAGTTGAAAACACACACAGGGCGCCCCAAAACACCCCTGCAAGGACCCAAGCGTGGCCATACCCGGGCGTTGCTGGCCGTCAGCCACGTGGGCTCCACCGCCCGGCGGGTGATGGTGCCCGCGGTCACCACCTGCGGCAGGATGGCTCCGTAATCATCCTCCTCGTTATAGTCGGGATGCCTGGGACAGAGCCGAGGATGAGCATCACTCTGCGAGAGCCCTCCCAGAGCAGCACAGAGGGGATCACGGTCCCGGTTGGGGTCATTCCTCCCCGTACCTGGTCACCACGCGAGGCAGCTCCCCCTTCTTCAGCCACACCACCATCTGGGAACTGGGGGGACGCAAAACAGGAGAGATGCTGAGACCCCTGAATCTGCACAACCTTCCCCAGCCATGACGCAGCCTCCACCCGCAGGGATGCCGCAATTCAGCTGAAGGCAGCTGCTCACCTGATCCGCTTGTGAGCGTTTCTCCAAAATGAGATCATTTTATTAATCTCGAGGGCTCTGGTCCCGTGGGTGCGGCCCACGGCGGCCCGCAGGGTGCCATCCTCCATCTGGGGCAGGAAATCCTTGGCAAAAGGGCTTCCCACGTTGTTATCGTTTCCATCCTTTAGCAGCAAAAGAGGTACCAGGGCTCAGCATGCCACCACTCCAATCAGCAAAGCTCTGTGCATTCTCCTGCCACAGCTACAGAGATGCATTTCCACCACCCAACCCCGTGGGGCAAGATCACGGGGGTCCCAGGAGTGCTGCAGCACCGGGGTGTCAGGCAAGGCGGCATGGCTGTGCAGCAGGACCAGGGGACCTGGGATGTAGGGTGGCTGGGAAGCCCCCAGGAAGAGCCCCAGGAGCACCCAACTTGCCTTGTGAGGCAGCTTGAAGAACCAGCACCCAGGGATGTTGACATCATTGTAGGGACCATTACCGTGGTGGTACGAGGGATGGCTCTTCACATCCACTGGCCTGCACAGCTCACCCATCTCCTCCTGCGACCAGAGATGTGAGGTGATGCCGGGAACATTCCCAGGCATGACAGGAGGGGGAAATTGAGGCAAGAGGGTCCAAACCACCACCCAATCCCACAGGAAACCCCCTTTACCTGTGCCAGGCTCTGGTCTGCTCTGCCCATTTTCTCCTCCATGTCCAAGTCCAGCTGGCTCAGCTCCTCCATCTGCAGCAGAAAGGGACCGGGGGGGAAGCTGGGTCAAACACCAACACTCCAGTGACTTCACACATATTAAAGGAAATTTCTTACTTCCAGCCTCTGGAGCCGCACACAAGGCTGGTTTTTGCATGCACACGGGAGGAAGCCCAGCCCCCCCATCCCTCTCCCACCTCCATCCCTTCCTTCACCTTCTGCCATATCGTGCTGCCATCCATCACCAGCAGCTCGTCCTCCACGGCAGCCTGCAGCCCCGGGGGCTGCTCTTTGCCTTTCTCCAGGCAGTGCTGCCTGTACAGGTACTCGATCACCCTGGCAGGCGAGAAGGCAGAGCTCGCACAACCACAGTGGGGCCCGAGCCCCTGCGGCAGCACCTAGGCAGGATCCCAGGGAGCTCCTAACCACCACCCCCCCCCCCCCACGGGGCAGCCCCCAGCTCAGCACCCCGCTACACCCCCCTCACCTGTGCGGGCAGGAAGGGCCCTCTTCCCCCAAGGAGGCTGCTGGCAAATTGTCCTGCCGCCCCGGCACCAGGTAGCCCCAGCCACGTTTCTCTGAGTAATGGAGGGGGAAGCCGTCCCAGGCCAGGCGCATCAGCTTCGGGGTCACCCTCATCTGCAGGCTGATGAGGCTGGGCCCCGGCACCCAGTCCGCCTCCTCCAGGCGCGGGCACAGCTTGCGGTACCAGCTGGGGAGCGGCAGGGATGGGTCAGAGAGGTCAGGGCAAGCCCTGGAGACACCCAAGATCCCAAACTCACCCCGGGTGGCCTGGCAGGTGCTGGAGTCTCTTGGGCTGCAACGCGACCGTCTCCTTCAGACGCTCCAGGCAGACCTGGCTCGCAGGGGCTTTCAGCTCCTCATCCTCACTGGGGGGACCAGGGTCTGGTGGGGCAAGGAGGACTGGATGGCAAAGAGTCCTCTGTGCCGCTCCACTGGGGACGGGGACCTCGAACCAGCCCCCCGACATGTGCCCCAGCATGGGGACACAGGCCAGTGACGCTCCACCCCGCCGGCAGCAAGGAACCACGTCCCTTCGTCTGGGCGCCCGTGGAAAGGTGTCCCTCGAGCACCCCTCATCCCCAGGGACCACCCGCACCCACCTTCCTGCCACTCCTGTGCTGATCCGTCTGCGCCCGCCACTTCCGCAGAGGCTTTGTTGTTCCTGTCCCCATCCTTCTTTTTTTTCCCCGGATTCTTCTTCTGCTTGAACTCCTGCGTGTCCCACTCGAGATCCCAAAGCCAGGGGTCATCCTTGTACCTGCCGACACACCGTCGTCACGCTGCAGCTTTGCTCCCATCCCCAGCACCCACTCACAGCCCCCCATGGACCACTGTCCTGAAACAGAGTTAATATTCCTTTTTGGGAACTAGAAGAGTGCCGTGTTTTGGATTTAGCTTTGGGTTTGGTATGAGAAGAATGCTGATAGCACACTGATGTTTTCAGCTGCTACCAAGACTTCAAGGACTCTCCAACTCCCCATGTTCTGCCCGTGCACAAGGGCACAGGGAGCAGGGAGGGAGCACGGCCAGAGCACCAGACCGAAACTGGCCAATGAAATATTCCATATCATGGAACGTCGTGCTCACTATATAGAGGGGTGGTCGGGAAGGAGCTCTCTCTCACTTCCGGGATTGCAATTGGTATTTCGGGATCACTAGCCAGGAACAGGCTGGGTATTGGTCAGCAGGTGGTGAGCAATTACATTGTGCATTGCCCATTTATAATTTTTCTATTATTGTCATTGTTCTCGTTTTATTATCATTATTAAACTGTTCCTATCTCAGCCTGCGAGTCTCCCTTTACCCCTTCAATTCCCTCCCCCATTCCCAGGTGGAGAGGGGGAAGGGTGGGTGACCAGCTGCGGTGGTTGGCTGCTGACCAGGCTCAAACCACGACAACCACCCGGCATCTGGTCTCTGTCCTGCGAGCGGCAGGACCTACGCCCCCAACCCAGGGGTACCTGTCCTCATGCAGCAGCTGGCAGGCATCGTTGGCCAGGTTCATCAGAGACTTCTTCATCTCCTTCTGCAGCTCCTCATAGACGCCCTGAGCATCGTCCAGGTACCTCTTCCAGTTCCCATTGACTGGCAGGTAGGACACCCCCATCTCCAGCATCCCTGCAAACGTCACGGGGTGGGGGCACCTAAAGCCCAAAGCAGTGAGGAATCAGGTGTCTGCTGGAGGGGATTTGCCCTGGAAGCACCAGACTATGACAGATGTGAACGTGTCTTCACCTAGTTTCCCAGCCCTGCTCTTCCCCTAAACTCAAAAGGATCCCTGTATCTTCTGCCTGCCCTGCACACAAATCACTGCCCTAAAATCAACCCCGTGCAATAACCCCAAAGCTGCATCACTCCAATCTGCTTCCTCTGGCCATGCTGTGCTGCTGTTGACTCCTTTTCACCTACATGGAAGGACCCGAAGTCCCTCCTGAAAAGGTGTTCGGGGTCCCCCAACCTCCCGCTGCCACCCCAAGGGCAAGAGAAGCCACATTCCATCCCCAAAGGGACCACGATCCTACCCGCTGCCCCCTCAGCCAACACCAGCCTGAGCTCAGTGGCTCTCACCTCTCCATGAAGAGCGGCAGCTGCTCCTGAAACACCTCATGGGTGGCCTGGACATCACGGGCACAGTACGACATCAGGTCCTGGGGGCAGAGGCAGGTGAGAGCAAGCAAAGCAGCCACCTCTCCGCCAGCACAGGGCAAGGCACCGGGGCTGCAGGAGGATGGGGGACGTCACAGCCCCACGCACGCCCAAACCCCTCGCGAGAAAGGGCAGAAATATGGAAATGCGTGCCCGCCCCGCTCCTATCTCTGGCTCCCACTGCCCGTCAGGGTGCTGGGATGGCCGCCCGCACCTGGAAGTGACTCCTGATGTCAGCCATGGTCCCCTTCACAAAGAGCTCCCGCGCCTCCTTCTCCAGCGGCTCCCCCCCGACGTAGAGCGCGTGCACGTCTGCCAGGTTGTTGATGCTGCTGACGTGCACCCAGTCCCATGAAGTGATCTGTGAGTGGGGAGGGGGGGGGGTCAGATGGTGTGGGACAAGGACCAGACACAGCCAAGATCAGGAGTGGTAAAGGATGTCGCTGCTCCATTTTAAACCAAGGCCACCTCGTCTGGGAGAGCTTCGCCCAGCAGAGCTGCTCCAACAGCTCCTACTCTGCCAGTACAGGAGCAGTTGGTCCCAGTACAGGGGCAAAACAGTCCCATTACAGGATCAAATGGTCCTGTTACCAAATCAAATGGTCCCCTGCCACCCAGGCCACTGCCAGAAGTTCAGTTCCTTTACTCACAGCCGGTCCCTCCATTTTGCTTTGTGTTTTCTTTATGTGCTGCTTGACCTGCTGCAGTCCCTTTCTCTTGCCGTGCTTGGCAGCCATCCAGAGGCTGCGCTGGAAGCCCGTCAGCCCCGAGATGGCCATGTGCATGCTCATGGTGTCCAAGAAACGCACCCGGGAGCCCTGGGATACACCGGGGGAGAAAAAACAAGATGGCTTGGGACACGCTGGAGGAGAAACGTGCTGCCAAGCATCCTGCAGCTGCCAGCAAGCACCGCTCCGCGTTACAAAGCTGCAAGTTCTCTGCTCAGGCTGCTTTTGTCAAGGCAAAGCTTTGCCTCTTAGCACCCCTATTTGGAGGGGCAAGAGCATCCCCAGCACAGGCTGTAAGCTGCTCAAAGGCTCCTGCCACATCCCCAGCTGCAATCCTGCAGCCTCCAACAACTTCATGGGGTGCAAGAATACTGCCCCTTAAAGGGATCAAATCTCAACTTGTTCTCTAGGACAAGGCAAGCACAGCCCTGGGGTATCTGTGCACAACACTATTTTCCAAAATAACCCTGAAAAGCCAACGCAAACAACTATCTGGGGAACCAACCTTAGCTGCCAGCACGAAGCAATGGCACAGTACGTTACCTGGATGAGGTACTGCTCCTTGATGAACGCCCGGTCGAAGGCCACGTTGTGCCCCACCACCACTCTCTCCGGCCAGTCCTGCTTGCCAGCACAGCCGGCGCCCGCCGGGCTCTCCAGGGGAATGAGGTCGGCCAAGGTGAGGTGGTTGGACCAGGAGTAGCGCTGCTCCAGCAGCCGCTCGCTGCACCACGAGTACCTGCGGAGGACAGATAGAATCCGCGCAGCCTTAAGAAATAAAGTAGAGGTTCCCGGGACGAAAAGCACCCACTGTGACGTGGGGTGAGCCCCTTGGGAGGGAGGTGACCCTGGGATGCGTGGCGCTCGCTAACCAGCACACACGTCCCACATCCCAGAGCCACACTTTGGGGCTTGGCTGTGCTTTCCCTGCAAGCCGGCGGTGGTCTGCAGGAGCAGGCTCTGCTCGGGAGCATCCCTCACCCTTCCCAAAGCTCTGTGTGTGTGTCCCCCGCCACCGCGACAAGCGTGACCCCGGCACGGCATCTCACCAGGCGTGTGGCGAAACCGCCACGGCCAGCGTCGGGCAGTGGCCATCCGCCACACACACCTCCACGTCCAACACCACCGCCCGCTCCTCAGGGAAGTCGACAGCCTCCACTTGCCCGTCGGGCCCATAGCGGGTCCAGCCGAGCTGCCATGCCCACTGCGGGGGCATGGGGGGCAGCTCGCACCGCAGCAGCTCGTTGGCCGCCTCCAGGTAGGGCAAGCTCTGCTTCTGCGCCAGGAGGCGAAAATGCTCGTCGATGTTGTCCCCGTACATGCGGGGCAGCTTCAGGTCCACGTCGGGCAGCACCGAGGTCTCCTTGCCCCACAGGTCATGGCGCTGCAGGTGCTCCACGCTCCTCCGGATCTCCGCCGCCGAGTAGTGCACCTTGGCCCCACGGAAGATCTGCTCGTGGAGGGTCTTGGACAGCATCTGGATGTTGAGGGGGTTCATGCGCCGCTGGCCACTGGCAGGCTCCTGGCTGGGGCTCCCCGGCAGCAGGTGGCTGGCAGAGGAGCTGGAGGTGCATCGCTGGGGCTCGGTGCCACGGGCTGCAGCGCAGCCGCTCCCCAATCTGCTCCGGAGCAAGTGCCTCATGTCTCCCACACACACACACACACACACTCCGGGGCTGCTCCTCCCGGGCGGCCGGAGCTGCGGGGAGAAAGCAACGGCGAGGGGCGAGCTCGGCACCGCTCGCCCAGCCCCCGCCGCGGGGTAGCCCCGACCGCCGCCACGGGCGCGCTCGGCCGGAGCTCCGCAAAGCCACGCACGGCCGGGGGAGGCCGGGCTGCGCTGCACCCCCCCGCAGCCGTGCAAAGCCCCTCGAGTCCTGCAAACCCCGCCTCAAGCCGTGCAAACCCCCCCAAGTCCTGCAAACCCCGCCTCAAGCCGTGCAAACCCCCCCAAGTCCTGCAAACCCCCCCACAAGCCGTGCAAACCCCCCTCAAGCCGTGCAACCCCCCCCACAAGCCGTGCAAACCCCCCCAAGCCGTGCAAACCCCCCTCAAGCCGTGCAACCCCCCCCTCAAGCCGTGCAAACCCCCCTCAAGCCGTGCAAACCCCCCCAAGTCCTGCAAACCCCCCCTCAAGCCGTGCAACCCCCCCCACAAGCCGTGCAACCCCCCCCACAAGCCGTGCAAAACCCCCCTCAAGCCGTGCAAACACCCCCCCCCCCCACGTATGCAGTCCCTGCAGCCCTGCACAGCCCCCCGTAGCCCTGCACAGCCCCCAGTACACAAACACCCCCCCGCATCTTTGCACCCTCCCAATACATCCGTGCACGCACCCAACAAACGCCCCCCTCCCCCCCCCCATACATCCGTACCGCGCGCCGCCCGGGCCTGGGCCGGAGGGCGGATCCAAACCGGGGGGGGCGCCCGCAGGAGCTTCCGGCCGCGCTGACGTCCCGTCCCGTCCCGTCCTCCCCCCTGCTCCCCCCCCCCCCTCCACGCATGGTACGGTCCGCCGGCGATCGGCTCAGTAGGGCGCGCGGGAAGGCGGTTGGAGAGGCGGCCGCGTGGCCTAATGGATAAGGCGTCTGACTTCGGATCAGAAGATTGCAGGTTCGAGTCCTGCCGCGGTCGGTGCTACTCGCCCGGGTAACGCGGGGGCGCTTTATTTTGCTCCCCTCGACGGCGCCGTGGCCTCGGAGCGGGAGCCCGGCCGCGGCCGGCGGCACCGCACTCACGGGTTGAGTTTTACTCGTGTTTCTAACCGGAGAGGGCGGGGGGGGGGGGGGGGAGAAAGTGGGAGGGCGGCTCCGTACGAGCACCCCGAGAGACATCGTGTGGGTGCCAGGCGGCCCCGGGGCGGGGGGTGGATGTCGCACGGTATCGCCCGGTCGTGATCACGCTCCATCCTCCACCCCAGCCCCGGGCTCCCAGGGGAGGTCAGTCAGCCCGGAGTGGCAGGGCCAGCGGCCACCATTCCGCTCCCCGCCACCTCGGTGCGGCCCCGTAGCCACCCCTATGCCCACCTCAGGTGTTTATGGGGCGATGTACCGCCCCTCCGCAGAGCTCAGCAGGAGCCAGGGCACCCACCCGCACCCCAAAACCTCATGCCTTAAAGCTCTGAGACCTCAAGGGTGGCTTGGGACCAGCGGTGGGATCCAGGGTGGCTCAGCCCGGCGGGGGTGGCCGCAAAGGTGGGCATGGGGTGTACGTGGGACCACTGCTGGGGCTTGTGACACGGGTGGGGACAGCTCGGCGGAGCGGAGATGCGGAGCCGTAGGGTGAAGGGGAATGGGGCTGCGGGGGTCAGGGCAAGTGGGTGCAGGCTCCCTGGTCCCCGCGGCGACTTTTTTGGCCGGGAAAGTGGCTCCTGGCAGGGACCAGATTGACCTTGCCGTTGTAGGGTGCCGTGCCCCGCCGCGCCGCCAGGTGGCGCTGCGCCGCCGCCGCTGCCGGTCGGGCCGGGCCGGGTACCGCGGGGCCGGGACCGTCGGGGCGCGGGAACCGCTGCGGACCCGTCCCGCTCCGCGCCCCTGGGGGGGCACCGGGCAGGGGGCACCGGGCACTGTGACACCCCACACACACACACACACACCCCTCCGGCCATCCCGGCTCCTGCGGAGCTCCAAACTCGGGGTGCACCCCGCCCCACCCATCCGGCCGCACCGCCTCTGGCCGCGCCGATCCCTCCTCTCGGGGGTGCAGGGCTGGGGGGCAGCTATGCCCCTTCCTCTCCGAAAAGGCAGCGCCAGCGTGAGTGGGGTGAGGAACGCGCACACACACACACTCCAACCCCCTTCCCACGCTGCTGTTTTCTGAGACTTTGAATGCATATCACAGCACACACACACCCAAAATACCTGATCCCCACCCCCAGCCTGGGATTAGACGGGCGGGGTGGGGGTGGTAGTGCTTCACCCTGTTTCACCCAGCAGAGGAAGGTACCCTCTGCCTGAGCCTGGCAGGATCCGACCCCACGGGGGATGCCCGTGATCAGCACACCCACACCCAGACCGTGGGGCTTGAGGTTTCCCGCTCCTTCCGCGGGCACGGCAGGGAGTTGGGGATCGCGGAGACAGAGGGGAGGGATGCTCCGAGGCTGCGGGGGCTCTGGGATGGAGGGAAGAACCATGAGCTGCACTGGGGTGAAGCAGGGAAATGTTTGGGGACTCCCGGCTAGGGGTGGCTCTGGGGAAGGACCCGGGTGCGGGGGACTTGTTCTTCCCTCCGCTGCATTACATTAACACCGGTCTCCTTTTATTTGGGGTCCTTGATCTATTTATTTTTATCGTGGTCAAAAAAAAATAAAAAAAAAAATCCAACCCCCCCCCCCACCAAAAAAATCCCTCCCCCCCAAAGAGGAAAAAAAAAATAATTCTTCCCGAAATTATTCTGCCGCTTTATTTCTGAAGCCCTCTCGGGCGGCAGCGCTCTGAGGAGGGTTGATGGCAACGAAGCCCCGACGCTGTGTACGCGGGCAGGACCGGGCCGGGGCTGCCTGTACCTCAGCCGGGTGCGGGCAGGGAGGTTCGGCAAGGCACGGCACCGCTATAAAAAAAAAAAAAAAAAAAAAAAAAAAAAAAAAAAAAATCACCACCATAAAAAAACCCGAAATAAACCCTAAAATCCGCCGTTTCAGCGGGGCTGGTTGCAATGCACAAGTCGGGTTGGGGTGTGTAGGGTCTTTTTTTTTTCCCTAGGCTCTTTGTTTGTCTGTCTGTCTGTCGGGGAAGCAGCCCCATCCCTGTACGCCCCGTCGGGGTCGGGGACAGGCAGTGGGAGATGCGATTTTCCCCCCCCTCACCGCCCCCGCTTGGAGACCTCGTTCGCCGCCGGGGATTCGATGCTGTCGGTCGGATAATGGGGCGGTGGGACTTTGTTTAACCCCGTTGCCCCCGGGGCCAGGGGTCAAGGGCTTCCTCTTCCCCCGGGGCACGGCGGAGAGGCCGCCGGTCGTACCGGGAGGGCCGCGGCGGGGGGGGCGGCAGCCGCCGCCCCCCCTCCCCCCTCGCCGCGGCCCTCCCGGTGCGACCGCCGTGGGACCCCGTAAACCCCCATCGCCTCCCGGCACCGAGAGGCTGAGGATGTCTCCCGGTGGGTGTTTTCGGGGAGCAGAGGGCGGCCAAACATCGCCCCGCGGCCGGGCGGGGGGGGGGTGGGATGCGGAGAAGCTGCCCCTGCCCTCCAGCATCCCCCGGGTTTACCTTCTCCTCTCGGCTGGAGGAACCCTGTTTTAACACGGTACGGTTTTATCGGGGCTTTAACCCCCTTCCTCAAGCAGAGGTATCTCAACCGCCCCCCCTGCGCCCCCCCCCGGGAGCCAAGAAACGGGAGAAACGGGCAATTTTTATAGGTGACGTACGGGTTTACGTGGGAATCCGTGCCCAGCACTGCTCTTTCCGCTTTTTTTCTCCTGAAATAACCCTTCCCTGCAGCTCGTACCCCTCTTTTCCAGCTCGCACCCCCTTTTCCAGACTGGGGAGGGGGGAGCCGGGAGGGGGGAAAGCAAAAAGAAGAAGAAAAGCAGACCCCACATCCCGCTATTTTCCTGCTCGGGAGACGAGCCCCGGAGCTCCCAAAGTGAGCGATGGGGAGGGCGAGGGGAGGCAGGCGGGAGCCGGCTCCGAGGTGGAGGGGTCGGGAGTGATGGAGGGGTAGCGGGGAGGACCTTCCATTTCGGGATTAAGGGAGAACCGGCGGGGGAGGGAGGCTGTCGGCCCCGCGGGCATCCGAGGTAAGTCCTCCTCCTGCCCGCAGCCGTGGTACCGCAGCCCGGGAGCTGCCGGCGCTGCCGGAGGAGGGGGGAGGAGGGGGGGATGCTTTGGGGGTGCAAAGGAGCCCGATCATGAAGGGTAACCAAGTCCGGGGCTGCCCCATCCCCACCCCCGGGCCGGGTTCCTGCGGGAGCGGCGGGGCCGGGGCTGCTTTGGCGGCTGCGGCTCCTGGGGAGATCGGCGCCGGTTATCCCGGCCCGTGGGCTGCCGGCAGCCTCTGCCCGCTCCCTCGGGGCTGGAGCGGTGTCCCCCCGGGCCGAGCAGCCCACGGAGCCCGCTCCCAGCCCCCGGGGCTCCTCCCGTGTGTGTCTCAATTCGCTCAGGCTTGACTTGGCAATAAGCTCTCTCAATAGGGTGACAATAGAGCCCCGGTGGGACCTGAACAAAGAATTTGAAAGTAGTTAAATTGCAGGACACGTCCATCGCCTGGGTGCCTGAATTAAAAAAAAAAAAAAAAAAAAAAAAATCGGAGAAAAGAGAAAGGAGAGAGACTTTTCTTTGGGCTGGTGAGAAAACGTTCAGGGTAAAAGTTGGTTTGGCGTCTTCATTTCAGCGACAATGGAGCAGAGCTAATTCAATAGGAAACGCGGGGATTTTTTAATGAAAAGACCGCCAGGGTTACACCGAAGTTAAGCTCTTGTGAATTAATTATTAGGGCAAATAAACTGGGGGGGCTGAGGGGGGGTAGCTCTCGGGAGGGAGTGTTGCAATTTCTTAATATTCTCCTTTTCGTGTTTAACGACAATGCCATTAGGTTTTCGACTCTGGGTGAGCAAAAGGATTTCTTGCACTCCCCGGGAAGAGGACAAGACGCTTGCTTGCTTTTTTTTTTTTTTTTTTTTTTTTTTTTTTATGGTGTTAATTGCCTTTAAAATAAAATACTACGGAATTTGGCAACGAGCTCCGGTTTCTGCTGGCGGTGGCATTTGGGGTTATATTTCCTTTCGTGGCAACTCGCAGATGCAAAAAGGAAAATAACGGGGGAATTTAAAAACACGAATGTAAAGGCGAGGCGGCGTGTTCGGCTGTTGCAGATCTCTCGGGCTCGATCGGTTTATTTTTTCCTACATAGAAAACCTGTCTGGGGATCCCTCCGTGTTCATCGGGGCGGCGAGAGACTCCCCAGAGCCTCTCCAGGGCATCGCTGGAGTGAATTGGAGATAAAAAATAGGAGCCAGGTTACACGCAGGAAGGAAGAGAAGGAGAGGTCGGAAGCGAAGTAAAGGTGTGCCAGGAGGGGTTCGGGGGGGGGTGGTGGTGTGTGCTTTTTTTGACTGCAAAGGCTGCGGGCGATGCGATGTGTGTGTAATTCTGTTAAGAAGATAAGGACGATCGAAATGGAGGGGGAGCGGAGAGCGGGGGGAGAGCAGGCGGTACCTCCGCGCCCCGGTTCCAGCTCGCTGCGGCGACCGGGGGCTGCGCTGCGGCTGGCGGGGCCAGGCGGTCCCCGGGGCTCGGCCTGGCCGTCGGGGCGCGGATGTCCCGGCACGGCTCGGCACGGCCCGGCTCCAGGAGGGACCGCTCCTCCCCTCCACTCCAGGGCTGGGGCCGCAGCCCTGGGGGGCAGCCGGTACCCCGGTTCTGCCCGACGGCTGCAGGCGGGCCGGGCCGGGCCGGGCCGGTCTCGGGAGCGGCGGGGACACGTTCAGCATTTGGACAGCGGTGCGGGGCCGGGCCGGGCCGGGCCGGGGCGGGGGAACCAGGGGGAGGTGGCCGGGGGGGGGGCGGCGGCGGAGGGCAGGGACCGGCTGCAGCCCTTTCCCCTGCTCGCCGTGGCGGCGAGGGGAAGGATCCTCAAGGGAACGGGGACACCGCCGTGGGGGGGTCCGGAGCTGCCGGGGAGGGGGGCCCGGCCCCGGCTCTTTCCCTCCCCCCCCCCTCCCCGAGAAGCGCTCCCCGGGGCCGGGGGCAGAGCGGGGTGCCCGGCGGGACGCCCAGGTGAGCGGCGCGGGAGCGGGAGGCGGTGGCGGTGGCGGGGGGGGGGTGGGGGGTGGGGGTGGGTGTCTCACCGAGAGGGGGGGATTAAGAGGAGGGGGGAGAGAACGGCCCCTCTCCACCGCGCAGCCCCATCCTCGGGGGGTAATTAAGGGGTGAGGCGGAGGGGCTGCGCTTTCTGCTTGGCGGAGCCTGCCAGCCACCAACCCCCGCCGCCACCGCCGCCTTCCTCCCGTCCTCCTCCTCTCCCCCTCCCTCCCCCCGCCTCCTCCCCTCCCCCCTCTCCCTCCTCCTCCTCCTCCTCCTCCTCCTCCTCCTCCTCCTCCTCTCCGCCATGGTTGGAGTGAATAGGAGGCTGCCGGGCTGACGTCAGTGCGGGCAGAGCCTGCCGGCGGCGGCAGCTCCCGGCCACCGACCAGAGCCGGCACCGGCGGCAGCCGGGAAGACGCAAGGAGCCCGGGCAGAGCCGCCCCCGCCGGCCCGTGCCCCGGGGCTGGGGGCCGCGGGGGCCGCTGCTCGGCCGGCGGCAAACCCTGCCCGCCCCCTCTGCCCGCCCGAGGGGGGGGGGGGGGGGAGTGCGGGGCGGGGGGGGAGCGGCCCCCGCCTCCCGCTTCGCCCGGGGACCCGCCGTCCTGCCCTCGACACGGCATCACGAGTGAGTGTCGCGGCCGGGCATCGCCGCCTCGGCGGGGCGGCCCCGGGGAGGCGGGAGGGCGCGGGGGGACTTTTCCCGGGGGAGGGACACGCACACACACACACGCGCACACACACACACACACACACACACGACACACCGGCTGCCGGGGGGGGGTGTGAAGGCGGGGAGGAGGGAGGCAGGGAAGGAGCGGGGAGGCGAAGTAGTTGGGCCGGTCCCCGCCGGGAAGTTGGGCTCCTTCAGGTGACGGCACCAAGCGGGACCGGGACCGGGACCGCCCCGCGCCGCACCCCGGCCCCGGCCCACCCGTCTCGGGGGACGGGCGGGAGACACGGGGGACCTTTTGCCGCCGGGGACGCGCTTGCTCCGGCTGCCTCTCACCGGCTTCCCGGGACGTTACAGGTCGGCAGCGGGACCCGGGGCGGACCGAGCCCCGACGGAGGGGGGGCGGGGGGGGGGGAGCCGAGGCCGAGGGCTGCCGGGGGGCTGCCGAGTTACCCCAAAACGTCCCCGCTCGCCGGCCGGAGAGGCGTCACCGCACAAAACGCCTGGGCGAGGCCGAGCCTCCCGGGGCACCCGGGCTTTAGGCCGCGGGAGAAATCCCGGGGTCCAGGGGAAGTTCTTCCTCCCGGTGCCGCGGGGGCTGCTGCGGAGCCCCGTTCCTCAGGGGGGCGGGGGGGGCACCGGGGCGCCCCATTCCCCTGCTCGGATTTACCGCCGAGGAGCAGCAGTGGGGCCGCCGCTGCCTGCACTCCGATCCACCACCGGCTTCTGCTGCTGGAGGATTTATTTTATTTTTTTTATTTGCGGTATCTATTTTCTTTGCTTTTTTTAAAAAAATATTTTATTTTATTTCATCCTTTTTTTCTATTCTTATTTCCATTTTTGTTTTCTTTGTTGTTTTTTTTTTTTTCTTTTTCCTTTTTTTTTTCTCCCATTCATTCTTCCCTTCTTCTCTCTCCCTTCCCGTGAACGCTTATTTCTTTGGGGTTTGGTGTTTTTTTGTTTTGTTTTGTTGTTGGTTTTTTCGTTGTTGTTGTTGTTGTTATTGCTGTTGTTGTTTTGGTTTTGGTTCCCCCCCCACTTCCCGCATCTCCCTGGAAGTGAAACGCATTTTAGGCCTCAGCCTTAAGGAAACCCGAATCATAGCAGTGCAGGTGGCCTGAGAGCCTCCACCCGGCCAGATCCCCTCGACGTGCCCGAACCCCCAGCCCCGGCCGGGCAGCATCTCGCCCCGCCGAGCGAGGAGGGTCCGGGACCGTCCGGGCCCCCGACGGCCGGAGGGAAAAAAGAGCAGCCGGGGGCTGGGACACCGCTGCTTTGCCTTTTCAGCGTCGGGGCTTGCTCAGGGGCGGCTTTTAATTGCTAAACAAAGCGACGCGTTTCCTTCACGCCCGTCGGGACCTGCCACTTCTGCGCGAAGCCCCGATTGTGGGAGGAAAAGCTAAAGAGAAAACCAACCAAAAAAAGAAAATTAAGAGAAGATGCAGCTCGAGGCGGCGAGGCGCGGGGGGTTACTCCAGGTTGGCTAAAAATAACTTCTCCTAATTAAAGAAAAGTGACGTCAGACGTGCAGGACGTAGAAGAGGGGAAGGCAGCGGACTCGTTACAGGGCGATCACGTTAAATAATGGAGGGGCGGCCCGGTGACCGGGCGGGCACGGGGCAGCGGGGCCCTTCCGAGGTGAGGCAGGCGGGGCCGCCCGCCCTGCCCGGCGCCGGGGTCACCCGTGGAGGGAGCGGGCAGCGGGGCCCGTGCCATCCGCGGGTGGGCGCGGAAGGTCCGCGGGCGCGCCGAGGGCGACGGGCGGTGCAGCACCATGGCCAGAGCCGCCCCGGCACCGCCCGCCCCTCCCCGTCCCGTCGGGCCGCCCGCAGCCGCGGGTTTGTTTTCTCTCGTGGGTGAGTGCGGCGGAAGGACGGTTCCACGGTCCCCACGCCCCCCGTGGGCGGCCCAGGTGGGGCAGGACGCGTTGCAGCCCCCGACGATTCCTCCCCAGGTTGCTCGCTGGTGCTTTGCGCTGTGCCAAGGAGCCATTTTGTACGTATCCTGCTAAAATCGCGCCCAAAAAAACCCTTAGACAAAAAAAAAAAAAAAACAACACAACAACAACAAAAAAAAAACAACAAAAAAACCAAACAACCAAAAACCAAACAACCGAATAACACACACACACAAAATCTAACGCCTAAAAAAAAAAAAAAAAAATACCCCAAGCGCAAAGTGCAATTTTCTCCCAGGTGCTGGGGTTCTGCCTGCATGGAGCGGGTCGAGGAGAGGGCTCCGAGCAGAGCAAGGCATTGCCGAAAAGGAGCGAGAAAGGAAAATTATATATATTTCTGCCAAGAAAATCGCCTCCTTTAGCCGGCTGAGAGAGGGGACCCCGTTCCCAGCCCCGAGCAGCCCGGCGAGGTGCGGTACTTCCCCCGCAGCATCCTCGCCCGGGCGGCCCGGGGACTCGGCACGGCGGGCGACAGAGCTCGCAAGGCGGCAGCCGGGCAGAGCTGCGGTTTGGGGGGGGCTGGCTCTGCCCGCCCGGGGCCCTTCGCCGCCGCCGCAGGGACGGCGGGGCCGGAGCGGGGCCGCATCGCCTCCAGAACGGCCCCGCGACCGGGGGAAGGGGGGGCTGCCGGCGGCACCCCACGTTGCTCCCCGCCGCCGGGACCCCGCGGTGAGTAACGGGGCCTCTGCCCGTGGGGGTAAACTGAGGCCGGGCCGTGGCCCAGGCGACAGCCCCGTCGCCGTGTCCCCCGTGGCCGCTCGGCACCGCCGTCCCCGCACCCCCGGGCTGCCCCGCGGAGGCGGCGGGACGGGCGAGAGCCTTCCCCCGCCCCGGCCGGGGAGCATACCGGCAGTGACCACCCTAATGGCGACAGCGATAAATTAGGAGAAAATCCAGGGCCGGAAAATTAAGGAGATCCGATCCGTGGATTTTTTTTTTTTTTTTTTTTCCTCCCCTCTCTCCGGGGCAGATTAAAATAAACCCCGGGCAAGCTCACTTCCGAGCGGCTCCGGGCGGCGGGGAAGACACCGAAGGGGCTGGGGACGGACCAAAGATTTCTCTCCACCTTCCCCAGCCCCATCGGGGCGGCCGGGGCCCCCCCGGGCCCGTTTCTCGTTAGGCAGGAGGCGGAAGGGAGCCTGCGGTTACCGGTAGCCGGGCAGTGCGGCCGGGCTCGCCTGGGCGCCGGGAGCAGCACTGGCTCGCAGCGGGGCTGGCAGCGCCGAGCCGTTAGCTTTTAGCCTAATTGAGCTCGTAGATTTTATTTATGCCATTTTTAATCTCCTTTTTTATTTTTTTTTAATTTTTTTTTAAGGGGATGGCGGGCAGCGGGGAGGGGAAGAAATAAATAACCCAAGCGGAGCTCGCCGGGAGCCGGGACCGGGAGGCTGCGCTCAGCCGCGGTTGCTCCCGCTGCGATAGCTTCGTTTCACGGATCCCTCCTTTTGCAGCAGGTCACATTTTAGCCTCGCCTGGATTTAAAAGAAGGCGATGTTTAGAAGCGGAGAGGGATTACATTTTTTTGTTTGTTGGTTTGGGGTTTTTTGTGTGTTTGTTTTTTTTTTTTTTTTTTTTTTTTTAGTGCGCAGTAGGTCAGATAAGCATCCCAGATAATCATATTTGCCTCCTGGCATTTTAGTATTATTATTGTTGTTGTTATTATTTTTACGTGCTGGATTCGTCGCTACACGCATATCGCGTTAAGAATCTGTGCGGGAAATAATGAAAATAAGGGGGCAGAGAGGATCGGTGCGGGACCGCGGGTGCGTCCCCAGCCCCCGGGTGCGTCTTGGGACGGACGGGACCCGAGTCTGCCTGGGGGGGAAGGGGCCCTTCGGGATGCCCCCGGGGGCAGAGGCCGGACGGGGCGGGCGATGCTGAGGGAGGGAAAGGTGTGAGAGGGGTGCGCTGGATGGGGGGGCATGGCGCGGAGGGGATCGGGGAAAGGCAGAAAAGGAGAGGGGTCGGGAAAAGGGAAGAAAAATGGACGGAAAGGGAAAATGAGGGGGAAAAGGAAAGGCCGGGGAAAGGGAGATAGAAAAAGGAAGAGAGGAAGAGCTGAGGGAAAAGGGAAAGGGGAAGGGGCGAGAGGGGAGTGCCGAGGACAGGGAGAGGGAAGTTAGTTGTAGGTGCGTCCCCCCGCGCCGGGCCGTGCAGGGCCGCTGCCCGCCTCTGCCAGCCCGGCGGAGCTGCCGCGGGGGCACGGCGGGGGGGCAGAGCGACCCGCGGCGCAGCCCCCCCAGCACAGGCCGGGGGGCGAGGCACGGCGGGTGGAGGGGGGCCGATGCCGGGGGGTGTCGATCTGTCCGTCCCGTCCCGTCCCGTCCCGTCCCGCCGCGGGGGCGCGGCGCGACCCGCCGATCTTCTGCCGGTCGGGTCGGGGCTGGAAAGCGCGGGAAAGGGGGCGCTGATTTAAATGTGGGGCCGGGGATTGGCTAGGCGCGGCGTGACGTCACTTCCCAAAGGGGGCGATTACCGTGCGAGGGGAGTAGAAGTTGGGCAGCGGGGCGGGAGCGCGAGTGCCGCTCGCCCGGGCTGGTACCGCGGCAGGCTCGGCTCGGCTCGGCTCGGCTCGGCTCGGCTCGGCTCGGCTCGGCTCGGCTCGGCTCGGCTCCGCTCGCCGCAGCCCCGCGCAGCCCGCCGCAGCCCGGCTCCGCACGGCCCGGCTCGGTACGGCTCGGTTCCGCTCTCCGCAGCCCACCCCGAGCCCCCGGCGGTGCCGCCCGCCCGCCGTGCGGCTCAGCGCCGGCTCTCCCTCTCCGCCTTGTATTTATCTTCTCTTTTTTCCCTCTTTTTTTTTTTTTTTTTTTTTTTTTTTTTTTTTAAATATATATATGTGTGTGTGTGGTTCCCGGTGGCAGCTCCCGGCCGCCCTGCCCCGGCCGTGCCCGCACCCTGGAGCGGACGAACGAACGGACGGACGGACGGACGGACGGACGGATGGGCGGCATCCCCGACGGAGGGATGTTTCTGTCTTTGGTTATCTAGCTGTATGAGTGTTGTGGAGCCATCATAAAGCTAGATAACCGAAAGTAGAAATGACTTCCAGACCTACTCGCCCGGGGGAAGCGGCCGCACCAGGACCGGCGGTGCAGAGGCGACCCGACCCGCCGCCCTCGGGGCTCCAGGTAAGGGCTGCGGCTCCACGCCCTCCCCGTCGGGCCGCGCCGGGCGGGAGGGCCGGGGCCGGGGAGGCGAGCCCTGCGCGGATGCTTTCATTGCCAGAGAAATCCGGGGTTTAACACTCGGTTAAACGCACCTCGAAATCCGCTCCTAGGCTGCAGGGTGTCACGGCTCTTGGAGGATGGAGGGAACGAGCGCCCTCCCCAAATAAATTCCGCCCTCCCACCCCCCGTCCCAGTCTGCGGGTCAGACTTCAAAGAACCCCGGCTTTTGGATGTTTTTCCCTTTTCTCCTCTCTCCCTTCCTCTCTATTTTTTTTTCGACTTTGGGTTTGATCCTGGCCTCCCTTTGGAAGGTCAAGTTGGTGATAATGGGATCACTTTTCCTGTGCGGTGGCTGTTGCTTTTGTCCGTAGCCGGGGGTGGGGGGGTGTCTCGGAGAGGGGGATGCCCAGGGAAGGGGTCCTGCTGCTGGGTGCACCCCTCTGGCGTGCGGCCACCCGGCCCTGGGGCTTCTTTGGGAGCTGAGCAGTTGGCAAGGCACAAAGCCTCCCTCACCTCTGCTGCAAGCCTGAGAAGTTGAAATATAATATGTATTACAATGTCTGGCAAATAATAAAAAAAAAAAAAAAAAAAAAAAAAAAAGGAAAGAAAGAAAAGAGAAAAAAAAAAAAAAAAGCAATTGGCAAATCTGCATTCCGTTCCCATGGCGACACAAAGCACCGTGCTCTCCGCCGAGCCTCCCCGGCACGTTTTCCCAGCTGGCGTGGGGCGAGCGCCCCTGGCCAGAGCTGGGGTCCCCCGGGCCCCCCCGGCACCCTGGGGCAGGGTGTGGGGCACTGCCGCCAGCCCCTCACCCGGCGCTGGCGGTTGGCATCCCGCAGGGCTGATCCCCGCACAGCCGCCGACCCACGCGGGCCGTGACAGCTCCGGGGAGGCTGCAGAAAAAAAAAAAAAAGCTTCCCATGGCTGGGGTCGCGAGTGGGCTGTTTTCTGGCTCTGTGCCCCCCCGGGAGACGGGGAAGGGACAACGGGGGGGGGGGGGGGGGGAAAGATGCTGCTGCGCTCCCACCGACCTGAGAGATGGAGCGCGGGTCCCCTGCCCCATCCTTTCCTCTGCGGCTGGGCATCCCTCGCCAAGGGGAGAGGGGAGCAGTGCAGGGGTGAGCCGCCCGCGCCCGCGGGCGTGCAGGGACGGCGAGGGGCGGGAGCCCCGCACACCTCGGAGGCAGGTTTTCCACCTTCCCTTGCACGGGGTAATGGCGTCAGACGCCACGTAGGCCCGCAAAGCTAAATATGCCTGTGCACCCTTCCAGGGCCAGCAAAGCACCGCCATAACCACAGTAAGGAAAAAGGATCTCAGCCTGAATTTGGCTATACCGGGAGAAAGAAAAGTTCTGAGGAGCTGTTGTTATTGTATATTCTAATAAGAAGTCATTGGAGAAATTAAAAAGGGCAGAGAAAGACGAAGACGCCAGCACTAATTCCGCAGGAAGCCTCCCAGGGAAAAGGCTGTGTGAGTGTGAACGCTGAAAAGCATGAAGGCCTGGAATTAGACTATCATTTAGAAAGCGTTACTAATCCGAAGTTACAGCAGTAATTCCATGATTTGCTGGGTCCCACACGCAGCGCCAGAATTAAAGATACGGATTTTCTAGAAATGTAACTCAACTGTGGCACCGAGTCTCGGCAAGATCCGAATGAATCATTCATTCCAAAGGCAGCGAAAGACGTGTCATTAAGAACCAACCTCCTTCTCTCCAGCCCATCTGGAATATGTATGCTCGATGCAATCCCAGAAATTGTGGAAGAGATCGGAGGTGGGGAGGAGGGAATGTAGTCCTTTCCCTCCTTTATTATGTTGGTTATTTTTAAGAAATAATTTTCCAATTATTTCCACAATATTGTGAGTGGCACTCAATTCTTCTTTTTTTTTTTTTTTTTTTTTTTTTTTTCCCCCCCCTTCTGTACGCTAGCATCGAGTCAGGTGCAAATGGTTTCAGTGGAGATGCTTTAAAACTAGACTGAACAAAGCAGGAGGGAACTGAGCAAGGTGGTTGATGAATGCATTTATTCCGGAGTAATGATTTGATGGGGGATGGAGGAAAGAAACATTCAAATTCCTAATGAATATAATTCAAGAGGAATCATTCGACCAGCGTGCTAGAGAAAATCTGTTTGGTGGGAGTGTTTCTGCATTGGCAGAACCCAGGAGGTATTTCTGTCCCTGGCTTTTGTAATTGCAAAAGGTGAAAATATAAAAAGAGGATCTGAGGGGAAAAAAAATATACACACATATAATAAATGTCTTTGTGTGTGTATATAAATACATATATATATACACATATATATATAATTTTATGAAATAAAATGGAAGTGTGGAAATCTGTGTCTCCATGTGAACTCTTACAAAGGATCGATGCAAGCTTTTTCACCTTGCTATTCGATCAGCTGGTCAGAAACCACCTTTGACTCCTAAATTTTTTTTTCTCCCCAAAAATCACCTGTTCTGAGTTGATTTTTTCAGTTTTTTTTTCAGACTGTGGGCTGGGTTCTCTTATCCCAGAGTGGTTGCCCCCCAAAGGGGGTTGAGACAGGGACTGAGCAATTTGGCCTTTAGTTTCTGGGAGCGAGAAACCCCAGTTGAATTTTTACTGCCGCTTAAGTTCTTAATTTTCGCCCCCGTTGTTGGCGTGAACTTGTGGGTGTTTGGGGGAGGCGTGGAGGTGGCCCCCCTCAGTTAACAAAGGAGGTGGCAATGAGTGATGGGGGACGGTGGTGTGAGCATCCCCAGCTCGTGTGCGCTTGGGTGGGGGGCGAGGAGGTGGATAAAGCCCCCCAGTAAATCCCTGCTTGTGAAATACCCGCTGCATTTAGGGAGTCCCTGGCAGCCCACCGTCAGGTCTCTGCTTTCTGTCTTTTTTTTTTTTTTTTTTTTTTTTTTTTTTTTTAAGTGGCGTGGTGGAAGGAGTGTCCCCAAGGGTCCGTCTTTGGGCCAGGGGTGGATTTTGGTTACACATCAATCCCTTTGTAGCTTAGACCTTTGCCCTGTTTGCGTAGCTGTTGGCTTTGGATGGATCTTTTCCCCTGCGTGGCCCAAACCCAGAAGGGAAGGTGTCTTTTTTGACTGTGCTGGGAGGAGATCTCAGGTCCTGGCATTCCCGGTCCTCGCCGGCAGCTTTCTGTTCTTGGTGGGACTCTCCCAGCAGAGTGATACAATGCGGTGTAGGCCAGATGTGGGTGAGGTTTCTGGAGCTGGGCCGTGATGTCTTTGTTCTTCAGGCAGAGCTGGGGATGGGCAGAGTGAGCCAGAAAGGGAAGAATCGGCGTGTGCCGTTGGGGGATAAATGGAAAATATCGTTTGTGGGTTTCACCCCGGGGAAACGATGCCCTGGGACTTCGTGTGCTCCAACTCATTATTTCCCATCTTTTCCTAAAACTTGGCCGCTGTGCAGCGGGTTTGGCTCAAGGCATGAGGTGAAGGGAGTTTGTACCAGATAACCATCAAAGCCAAACCTGCCCAGGCTCGGGTGTAGGTGGAGAAGGGGCTCTTCGATCCCTGCAGTTTGAAGGAGCCGCCTCGGGAACCGGGCTGTGCGAGCCCTCCCGCTCGGTTATGGATGAAATCCCGTCAATGGGCATTTTTGCAGAACTGCCTGGCAATGGCGGGTTCAACGCTTGAGGCTGAGCTCGGCCATTTCTTTTGTCTCTCTCGGCTCCCACCCCCCTCCCCACACCCTTGATGCAGGCGGACGGTGCCTGCCTTTACCTGCTGCTCGGCGCTGGCTTTGTCCGTGCTGCCGGAGAAGGGGCAGAGCTCGTGGGCTTGGAGGGTCCATCCTGCCCACGGCTGTGGATGGGTGTTGCTGGCGCACCAGGGAGGGACGCGCGGCTGCGCGCTGGAAACACGTTTCCTCACGCCTCGGCCGAGGGAAGGTGTTAATTTGGCATCTGTGCAGGTGATGGGAGTTTCTCCCAGCTGCGAGCGCGGAGGTGCTGGTGCCTGGCACGTGGCGCTGCACGCACGCTGTTCGTGGCGTGGGTACCGCGTGTCGCCCCCACTGCCGCATCGTGGCCCCTCGAAGGCTTTGGGGACCGTGAGCGCAAGGTGGCTGCGTAGTTGCCCGCGCTGGCTTCCCCGCCACATGATGCCGGGAGTCACCCTTTGCAGGTCGGGTATTTTGGTGTTTTGTACCCACGAGCCCGGTCACCTCGGGAAGGCGTTTGCCAAGAGCCCGGCTGGAAAAACATCGTCTCGGGCTGCTCACCTTCCCTTCTTCTCTCCCTCCCTCCGGGCACACGTGTTCGGGACCAGAGCTTGCGCCGGTGCGAGGCTGAGCCATCATGCTGCCCACAGCCGGGCTCCCGGCATCCGCAAAGAGTCGGGATGGGGCCCTGGCTTTTGCGTTTTCAGGTGCTGTCTAATATTTATTCAGGGGCTCAGGTTTGGTTAGGAACGTTTGCCTCGAAAGCTCAGGAGTGGGGGTACAAAAAAGAAAATGGGGGGGAGCAAAAGAACACAATCTCCGGCAGTTAGCTGTCTCTTGGAAACTCGGCTTGCTGTTCCCTATAGAGGCTTTCTCTTTTCCTTCACCCTGGTCTGGCCTTAAGTACCACTTTAAGTGGGCTTTGCTCATTCACATCCAGGCTCCTTAGAGCAATTGAGCCCGCGGGGGTTTGAAAAGAAGGGACAGTCCTTCAATGGCAGGACCTTGGGCCAGGCTAATTGGTTTTGGTTCAAGGGGATACTGGATTTGTGAAAAGCCCAAAGACATCTTTCCCACGCCAAATCCCGGCTCTTCAGAGGGGGAAGTGAGGGGTGCCGGGCGGGGAAGGGAGCTGAATGAATGATGGTTTAGTTGAGGAACCTTCGTAAGGACCTGGGCACCCAGCAGCCTCGGCAGGGATGGGCGCAGCGGGGGCTGTGCCCGGGGTGGCACGGCAGCGTGGGGACAGGGTCCCTCCTCCTCAGGCTGGCTCCCGGGGGCACGCTGGCGGCGGTGGCCTGGTTGCATTAAAACTAGGCTTTTTCTGGGCATGCCAGACTCCCGTGGAGATGCCGGGAGCGAGGGAAGGATGGGACTTGGGTCCAGGAACCAAATTACTTCTGTGTGCTCGTGTGTGCAGCTGTGGGGGGGGATTTGCCATGGTCTCTTGTATCTCATTTTGATTTAGGAATTTATTTATTTTTAAACACTGACTCTCTCTGGCACTGTTCCAGCAGTCCCACGACCTTTACTCTCCCCAATCCATAAAAATCACTTAATTATTGGGCCAAAAATCAAGGCTTGGAAACAAAGCCAGCTTATGAGACCATCATTTCTTGATATATTTCCTGAAAGGACATATTTCTGGGCACCTTCAGAGGAGAGCACGCAGCTTGTTGGATATGAGATATCAAGGCATTATTTATTGAGGAAGTCTTCACACTCCCTCATCTGTTATAATTAACTGATGACATTTTTTCTTAGGTTCAAAATATGGTGAAAAAGTATAATTAGCACAAAGCCGAGGCACTGCATTAAAATGTCTCCTATAGTTAATGTAGGATAGTCGTGCTATTTATTATAGGAGGAGCTGGCTCTGACCTCTGTGTTGCCTAACACTTTTTATTGTAAAGATTCTTGAACTTTTTTTTTCTTTTTGAGCACCTCTGACACTCCCATTGTTTGCGGTGGGCCCTTGAAATTCGGCTGGGGCAAGCTCTTTGGCTTGAGAAATGCTTATTCTTTGTCCCTTAAATTCCTTTCAGGTTTAGCTGAATTATGAATTGTTCGGAATCACAATTTCCCTTCGATTGCCTCTTGGGGAAAAAAAAAAAATTAAAATGTATTGTTTCCCTGGAATAACAATAACAGACCATGAGCAGGGTGAAGCCCTGGACTCCCACCACTGTATTGCAGAGCTCTGGACCTTCCAGGGAAGGTGGGAGGATGGTTACAGCCAACTCCATGACCCCCTTCCACCTCTAGCTCGTATTCTTCCAGCATGGCCCCATCTCCTGGGAGAAAAGTCCTCTGGGTCCTGGCGCCAGGAGGAGAAAGTGTAGGGGGGTGTGGGTATGTTGGCCTGGGCACTGCCAGCCCCAGTGGTCCCCCTTCCCCGCCGGCCCCAGGGGAGCAGCCTTCTGCCGCTGCCAGATAACATTAGTCCTGTATTTCATAGTGGCAGAAATCTGTGCTGAGGCTCAGGGCTTGAAATCTCTCTGCCCACACAGGACGAAGGCAGGGATGGGTGCGGGGTGGAGGAAAGGGAATTTGTTACACTTGCCTACAATTGTTTTTCTTTTTGCTTATATAAACAATCTATTATTTATTAGCTATAAATAATGCATTTTTCTGTATGTTTAGAATGCACATGATTTCTGTATATTAAAAATGTACATGGTTGAAGGCACCAAAGCAAGCGCTGGCAAGTCAGGGGGTACCCGATTTCAGTTTGACCATGAGACGTTGATTCAGCCTCTCCCTGCCCGTGCCCTTACGAGGCTGTACTGACACAGTCACAGCCTATTTTTAGCTCACTCCCTATTTCCCTGGCCAGGGTGGCTGCACAGTGAGGTGGAATTGAGGTTGCACGGACAGCCATAAATTGAACACTTCCTAACTTTGAAGTGCTTGACCACGCAATCTAAACGAGGGCTCTTCAGGGCGGTATTTCTGCGTGTGGCATTAACTGCATTGGTCGGGGATGGCAAATACAGGGGTAGAGAAGCCGCAGAGCAGAAAAGACCTATCAGACTATTGAAAGTGCTCATTTGAATAGATGGGGGAGTCAACAGAGCCTACACTTGATCTGAGCTAAATGGCCAAGAAGATGTCTCCAAGGTGAGAGGGGGAAGCCTTTGTTCCTTCAGCCCCAGCCTTGATGTTTTCTTTGCCTTTGGTTTTGCCTCATTCACTCCTAGGGAGGTTTGGGCTCCTGCTCTTCAGAAACCTTCGCCTGGCGTAGTGAATTTGTGTGCTTGTGAAAGCGAGGGTGTCCCTAGGAATGTGCACATGCACACGCGCTCCCGTCATCGCACCAGCAGACGTGTGCTACCAGCTCGCAGATACTTGCTGATTGGCGTCCTTGCCTTGCCGTGCCTTGCACACTCCCTCTTTCCAGTGTTGCTAGCAGGAGCTGCTTCATATGTTGGAGGGAAAGGAGAGGCCTTTGTGTATTACGCAGATCTAATCTCTTTTTTTTAACTGCTGCAAGAATTACTTTGGAGGTGATTACATGCCATGCAGATTTATCTTTTCTTGAAATGGCTTTTTTTTTGTTTTCTTTTTTCTTTGTTTGCTGGGGTGGGGGGTTTCCTCCATTCTGGCTTTCGAGAAGACATTTGGTTGTCTGTTTTCTAGTGGAGTGGTTGAGCAAATTTATCTGGGGGAGTAAGCAGTCTTTTGTTTTACTTTCCCGGGTGTAATGCAGTCATGGCCCCTTGCACATACCCTGTGCTGATACCGGAGCATTTTCCCCCAGCCAGCAGTGTACTTGCCCTGGCTTATAATTTTTGACCTAGCATTTTTGCCTTGTGTACTCCCGGAGCCTGATACCTGCCTGGGGCTGTTCCTGCATTGGCACAGGTATCTAAATGTCCTATGTTTGGGTTTCCATCGTGTGGGTATGGGCTTGTGTTTCACAAGCATCTTTTTCATAACTGTTCCTGTCTCTCCTGCATCTCAGTTCAGCAAAGGGCCTGTCTATCTGGATGCAGGCAATAAACATCTGTTCTCACCCTGACTTCTGTTAATGAGATAGAGACAGGTAAGCATCACACATACCAACTTTCCTGCTCTCAGCAACATCAAGGAAACGGTGACAAGCTATTAATGGAAAGTGATGGTCTGGGTGCTAATTAGTGCTTCCTTTTCAACTTTTACCTACATGCCTGCCGAGATGCCCATCCCAGCCTCTCCTCTCTCCTCGCATCCCTTTGTTTCTAGCACGTTCCTTGTTCACTGTGCACATCCCATGTCGAAGAGGTTTCTCTCTTTATTTTTTCCCTACTAATCGCTTTCTGCATCTCCTCACTCCCTTTTTGTGCCCTTTTCCCCTGGGTAATTGCTACCTGCACCCTCATTCTCATGTGGTTGTTCCCAGCAAAGAATAAGCACAATATTGTATCGGGATCTGAAACCTCGGGGGTGGGGCACGTGAAGTCAGTCAGGAGTTTCTCGTCTTCATCACTGAGTAGCAATATTCGCTTGTGGCACCAGTGCACGGGGTCAAATTACCCCAGGGACGTGAGGTCAGAGATCTGTCCCCTCTTCCCGCAGGTAATGCTGTAGGGAGGCTCCCAGCAGCTCACAGGTCTTGGTCATGGAGCAATTAGTATTTAAAGCAGATCCTCTGGTGATGCCCAGAGACCAAGTAGGACAGGCCTCCGCAGTGTGAGCCTGCAGGAGATGACAGGTCCTGCCCCAGAGAGCTTGCAGTCTAAACCCTGAATGATTTTGCTGTCCACCATACCCCTTTAATGGCTGGTTTTTGAGATTCACCCCAATTTGTGTTGCTGCTGCAGCAACACGATGCGTGGTCTCAGTTTGGTGCACAGTCTCTCCCATTTCTCCTTCTCCCAGTCCCTGGGCTCTGCCCCTTCCTCAGGGACCCTAATCGTCCCCTCCTCACTTCTTTTGCACAGGTTGTGGGTTTCTTGCTGCCAGGCTTGTGTCCCAAGGAGCTGCCTAATCTGCCCCTGTCATTCCCAGTCACAGGCTCCGCACACACTGTAGCTTTATGGGGAATGCTTGCAGGGCAGTGGGAAGAGGCAGCCATGGTTTGCACATTAGCTAATTAATTTTCATGACTGAACGATGCTGCCTGGTCTCTTGTTTATACTCCTCACCGCTCCCCTTCTCCCCCCTCCTCGCTGACACACACACAAGACGACACATCTCGTACGAACGTCAGCATCCTTCCACAGCCTTGAGACGCGAGCGGTTATTCTGTTGGCTTGTCAAACGCGGGTTTCCCTGCTTCATGGTACACAGGGGCCCCCTGTTTCACATTTGCTGATTCTTATTAGACCCAGCGCGCCAGGGCCCTGTCTCTCCCCGCAAAGCAACGCGCCACATCCCATCCATAAATCCAACCCTGGAACAAAGCCTCCTCTACCCTGCCCCATATTTCTACCCAGCCTGCCCGCTTTCCCCTCTCTCTCTCTCTCTCCCCCTCTCCTGTACTGAAGGTTTCCTAGTGCCAGGGAGATATGATAATTCTTGTGAAGAGAGCATGAAATGCCTCTGCTCTTTGTGTCTGTTTAATTCAATGAGAATCCCAGCCCCAGATGTCATGAATGGTGGGCTTTGTGCTGGCCCTTCCTAAGCCCTAACCGCCAGCCCTGCTCTCTGTCTTTCTTGTTTCCCACCACTGGATACTGATTAACAAACTAAATTATTTTTCCTCCCTAATGATGTTTTCCCACTTTGCCCACCAGGCTGGAAGAAGCCACGGGGAGGAAAGAGTTTGTGCAAAGGATGAGATAGCCAGGGAGAAAATTAAAGAGACAGTGTTGCTCTCTGGGCTCTGGCAACACAGGTCCGCTCAGCTTTATTTCCTTATTAGAGAACGGGGTCGTGTCTGGCTGTATTTTACAGGGCTGGGTGTATTTTACGGGGCTGGGTGTATTTCAGCCGAGGGGACGGGCTTGAAAGCATCCACACAAGGTATGCTCTGAAGCATGCCAAGGTCCGTAACTCACTCGCAATTGTGTGTGCGAGTTTGCACGGTCCCAAATTTAAGGTCTTTTTTTTCAGCCATGAGTGACATGCAGTAATTACTTGACATCCGTCCATGCATGTGGGAGCCTCTTTCTAATTGAGACAAATTCTCTTTTCCTTAATCAGACATGACTGCCAGTTTGCGGAGTGGGATGCCTTGGGAAGGGCTGGGACGTCTCCACCTGAGCAAGGAGAGGTGAGTCCCTGGGAGTCTTGCTGAAGGATCGAGTCCAGCTCGTGCATGGGAGACCAGCTCTTTTACCTGATCCCTCCCTCCCTCCCACAGCCAAATTTCCCAGCCAGGCTTTTGAAACGGGGCCAGTTGTTACCTGCTACTAGAGAAGGCCAGCAGCGATAATCCAGGGAGCCTGGATGGAGCTGGAGGTGGGTGGCCAAGGCAGGTCCGTGCAAAGCCACCTGCTTCCTGGAGCCCAGCAGTGCCTCCCTGCTGGGCACCAACGAAGCTGTGGCCAGCAAACACCCTCCTGGAGCAGGGAAAGAGGATGGGTGTCAACCTTGTGAGTAGAAAAGGCGGTAGGGAGGGAGAGAGCCTTTCAACAACAACCTGGGGGTCTGAATTGTGCATTCAGTAGTCCTTGGGAGGGGGGGCTGGTTTGTTGTGTTGGGGCTTTATTTTGGTTTATAAAAACCAGAGGAGCCCCGGGCTGGCAGTGTGGGCTCCTCTCAGCTGGGACACAGGCAGGGACAGGGCACGGCAGGGCACAGAGTGTGCTTGGGGAGGCTCTACAGCGGTGCAGGGCTCAGCCCTGTATTTATCAGACAGTGTGAGAGCTCTGGTTGGAGAGGGCCAGAGCCTTGCCTTTCCCTGTGCAGAGCAGTGGGGCTTGTGCAGGCTCAGCTTGTAGAGCGGCTGCTCCCCTCGGAGCCACGCCAATGCTGCGGCACCCAGCCGTGGTTCCCCTTTTCCTCATCTTACACTAGAAGGGGGAATAAATAGAGAAAAGGATGTTGCTTGTCTGCACCCACCGAGCCCCTGCAAACACACCCACTGCATCCAGCAAAGTACTGCCTCGCGTACGGCCTTTGCTTCCCACTGCAGTCACATCTGACCCTTATTACTTCTGCAAGGTAGAACAAGGCAGGAAAAATGGCTGTGCAGCGAGTTTCTTCATGCGCCAGGATTTATTAAGAACAATAGGGGAAATCAATCCATCTATGTAGAATACATCGCAGGCTGCAATGGGATAAAGCATTTATTCCGCTCTTGAAGGGTAGAGCTATAACTCATGGGAGGCAAAACCCTTAGTGCTCTAGAGTCCCTTCCCTTCATGTGTGCAAAGAAATGCTTTAGCCCATGGCAACCTACCAGCTATTGAATTTGTGTGGAGAATCTGCCGTCCTTCCCCTCTGCCGGCCCCTTTTTGGAAGGCGAGTCACTCATTAAAACACACCTCTGGAAAAATGAAGGGGCTGTCTGTTTGAAGGCATCTCTGCATCTCAGTTTTACTTGAAATGGAAAGAGAATAGAAATGTCTCAGTGATGTAAAAGCAACACCCCTCACCCCCAATTTTGAACGGACAGATTGCGCTTAAACCAACGCAGGATTTGCTGCAACTTTCTGCTGATGCCCAAGGACCAGGCATTGCAATTACAGCAGAGAGGGACTGGTTGGGGTGTCATGACAAGGCGAGATGCTGTGCAGGGAGATCTGTGTTCTGCGGCCGAACATCTCCATTGCTGACTAGATATATGTGTGTGTATATATATATTTAAGTACTACCCTGTGCCCAGCTCTCTACTCGCGGTAGAAGGCGTGCAGTGCAAAGACTGGAGCAGTAGTTAGCAGGGGCAAAAGGTGACTGGGATTTGTTCTAATCTTTCTGGGTGTGAGAGGGTGTGAAGGTGTGGGGGGGCATTAATAGCGAAACAGCATTTTCACTAAGCCTGTTTTCACTGGGTCTAATCTATGTTGTGAGAAGAGGATCTCCTCAATAGGGCAGAGCCAATGAGGCTGGTGAGCTGTTTGGAGGGGGTCTGGAGAGCTGAAAAATGCGGGCGGGGGGAAGCGTAGCAATCGAGCAGAGACGTCAAACGGCCTTCCTCAGCAGAGATGACTTGGTAGGTAGCGTGCTGTTGGGCAGATGGGGTTAATTCTTACACCCAAATCAAAAGGCGACCGAGGGGGGAATGTTTTATTAATGAAAGCAGCCCTTTGTGAGTATTCCTCCCGAGGCACGTTCCCTCCACCCGCTGCCTTCCCCCCTGGCTGCTGTCTGGCCCCACGTCTTGCTCAGTACCTGCTCAGCTGCCACTCACTCACTGATAGGTTTCATCAGGAAATGTCTCCATATGTCTGAATCCTGGACCTGGGCGAGTGGGATGAGAGAAGGAGGAGGAGGAGGGATGGGTCCTTGGCTATGCTGGAGAGGAGGGTGCGCCACAGGCAGGCAGAGCTCAGGCTGTCACAAGTTGCATATCAGCCCACTGATTGCTGCAGTGGTGCTGCGGGGGTCACTTCTTGCTGGTACCAAAGAGCGAGAGAAACCATGGTTTGCAGAGCACAAGGTAAAACGCGGGTCAAAAGCGGGCACCTCAGTGGGCTGGTGATGAAGGGGCCAGCTGGGGATTGGGTTGGGGAGGTTGGGAGTGCCTTACCCACCATCCAGCCCCCTTCCATCCCACTGCCTCGCTGCCTGTCAAGGAGTGGGCTCAAGAGAGGAGGAGTGTATTTCTGCACACCAGAAAGCAGCATCTCCCAGTCTTTCTCACCCTGATGTCTTCCCCTGCCCGTGTCCTCGAGGGGCCCTGGGCAGCTTGTGCCAAAGGACGAGGCTGTGGGAGTGGCAGGGGCTGTGCGTGGAGATTATTTCTGTTGCTTTGTTAAAAATAAAAACAAAGCTAGTTTATGACAATTGATTTAGAAAAAGGATGAAGGGGACCTCAATTCCCAGAGCGCCTTTTAGCAAGGCTCTGCATGCACCCGCGTGTGTCGTACGTGTGTCAGAACAGAGCACCCAAGGAAGGCCAGGTCAGGAAACCTCACATGGAAGCGGGGAAAAGACCCCAGTGCATGGCTGCTTCCCTGAGGGAACCCCCGCAGGGCTAATGTTTGATCTGAAGCTCAGTTGTACTCCTCAGAAACCTTGGGATGTCAGGAGCTCTAAGGGAGCCTGGGACGGAAGAGGATGCTATTTGCATTTTCCTATGAATGCATCTATTTGTATAAATATGGTGTCTCTGTGCATGCGCACACTCCCCATGCATTCATTTGTTTGAAGAGCAACATGCTATCCCCATGGTATCCTCCGCTCAGGGCCAGAACTGGTTAGTCTGAAATTCAGACTCTTCCTGGAGGAGCCATAACTCCCCTCCCTCCTTCAAATCTAGCGATGGCTATGGACATAGGAGTCCCGAGATGTTTCACCACGCGATAGCTGAGTTTCATTGTGAAGGATGAAGGCTACCCCTCTCAAATTTGCACAGACATCAAAAGAGTCTGGAAGGTTCAAACAGATCACAACGTAATCAAAATGCCAAGCCACCGTCTGCTTCTGCCTTTGGGTTGACAAGCAGGATTAGCACCCAAGGGAAGCAGAGTGTAATAGTGTTTCACGGGCACTGTGAACAGCCCAGAAGTGTGCGCAATACAGAAAGGTTAGCCGAAGGGCAGGTCTTGCTACAGACGTATAGTTGAGGGGTGAATTTTAAAGCAAGGAGCTGTATGTGTACAACCTCCGTGGATATTTACTTTAGCAGAAGGCAGGACTCTCCTGTATGCTGGTTATGTCATGCTGGAAGCAGTTTAAGCTAAACTGGAGAACACAAGTTTAGGAGTGGAGATGTGCACCACCGTGGCGAGGAGCAGTAACAGTTGACCTATAGTGCTGTCATTATAATGGTGTGGTTTTCCATGTAGACAACCCCGGAGCGGAGCAGCTCGCCTGCCATCCCTTATGTTTCACTGTCTAACTGAGATGTATAACACGGCTCTGTCTGCATGCAGTTGCAATCGCCCTTGTGCTCTGGTTCGCCGCAGAGTGCTGGAGCAGATGCCAAATTTTCAGTGTGCACCATGTGAAGTAGCCCCATTGTGGCTAAAGACATGTGAAATTCTTCCCAAATAGTGCTTTAATGTCAGTAATTGCTGTAACTGTCCTGAGGACAGCCCGGGACCAAGGATGAGGGATCCTCTGTTGGTATTTGGTATTGCTCGTTTGGAGAGCTGAACAACACTGATGTTTCCTCTGTAAAGCTCCTGTGGAGCGGGAAATGCAGGTGGAGCTTTGTTCGTGTTGTCTGTGTAACCATGCTTTTTCCTTTTATAACTGACCTTGTTTTAAATTTGTGTTAAACTAAGATTTAGGAAGCTCGTATCTTCATTACTGGTATCTCTGCAGTTTTGCTTGGGGATTTATTTTGTTTTGGCCGGGAGAAAGGCAGAATTTGTCCGTAACTTGCGCTCTGATGGCTGGGCAAGCGACATTTTCCCTTTTAGCTCTTGGACCACTGACCTGTATTGCTGTACCAGTTCAGTCCATGTTTTCCAGGGCCAGCCCAGTGCCCGGCAGCAGCTTACAGGACTCACTGGGGCACACTCTGACAGGCAGTTGTGCCCCAAAAGCGGCTGCCTGCATGGGACTAACCCTGCCTTTGCCCCTGCACCACTCGCATCCAAGGGGAAAGCGATGGCAAGGGCACAGGCACATCCATGGCCATGGGCAGGCCCTGGCAGTGCGTGCCACCTCATGAAGGAGAAACGGACGATGATTTTTCCAGTCAGGAGGGATGCGGTGAAAGCTGTGGAAGTGCTGTGTACCAAGCACCCTGGCACCGCCCACAAGGCCCAGGCTAAGATGGCTGCTCGCCAGGCCTCAAGAGTGCATTCCGGCCCGCCATGGCAACTCCCTCGCTCCCAGGGCCCCCCCTTTCCCTGTGGGCTTGCAGGATGGCTGCCGCCGCTCCCAGCCACCGGGTGCCAGCCACCTCAGGCCGGGCGGAGGGGAGCCCGCTGGGGCAGGCCAGCCGCAGGCCTGAGGCAGCGTGGGCCCCGGCGGCCATTTTGCGGGAGGCGAGCGCCTCCTGTAAGATGGCCGCATGGGCATGAGGTGGGGTGCAGCACTGCCTCGTCCTCGCCACGCTGCCTCCTTCATGCCGTCCCCTCCTTATCTTGCTAATTACCGATGAAGGCAGAACAATAACGGGAGCTGGCATGCCCCAGTTCTTTCTCTGCCACC